GCTTCATCATCGAAGGTGTTAACTCTTCATCAGTTTCAAAATCCACTGGTCCTCCCCATTCTTCATCAACGCGCATCCATTGATCGTTCAATGCATGTGTCTCTTTTGCGTCTTTGAAAAAGTTCGACGAGTGGAATATTGAATATTGTTTCCTTCAAGTTCGAAGTATCGTAGTTAACACGCTTCATCGTCGAAGGTGTTAAATGTTCGTCTGTATCGAGATCCATTGGTTCTCCCCATTCTTCGTCGAGGTGCATCCGTTGATCCTCTGTGTCGATAAAGGACTCCATTTTTATTTGCGCTCTTCCAATAAGGTGTTAATGTCGTTACAGTATGTGTATGACTAATGTGGAAGGGATTTGGGTTGCCGTTTATATAGACATTATGTGCAGGTAGTCAGTTACGTGTCGTAGCATGGCGTCTTTATTATTGTTATTGTTTTCGTTCTATGAATGTTTACCGTTACAAATTGATGCTTAGATAGTGTTGTTTCAGGAAAGGTGATAATTTTAAAATATCTATATAAATAAAAATGAATCGGCAAAATGCATGTACGCACATAACTTTAGAACCACTGCACCAAATTGGAATTATCCACTTTGGTGCTATTATCTTTATTTATTTTTTTGTATTCGCTATTGTCAGAACAAGGTTTGTGTAAAAAAAAATATAGAAAGCCAACAGATTTTTTTAAATCTCACAATACGAAAAGTGAGTGAATGAAATAGAAGACTGTGAGAGGTGTTGAATATATTGACAGACTGATAGTTATCATTAATTAATTATTGCCTCATGGCAATACGTCATATTTATATTGTCATTTTGGATTAATCTACACTATTATTATGAAGAGGAAGAATTTGTATGTATGTGATGAATAAATTCTAAAAGTACTGGATCGATTTCAATAATTCTTTCACTACTACATTACTACCTTTACCCTGACCAATATAGGCTATAGATTTTTTTTTTAAATAATTACGGATTCGTACGAAAACGTCGAAAATGTAACTTAAGATGTGAAAAAGATACCAAAAATTTCTTATGCCGCGTTCGCTGCTGAAACTATTAACAATAGAGCAAAGTGATATACAAATTTTATAGAGAACATTAACATCTACAAAAAAAGACCGCAATATTATATGTCTAACTGTTACAGTAACATCACAATAACTACTTTTTCATGTTAAAACATGTAATAGTAACGCCGGTACAAACTAGACTACATTATTCGTACCTTGATATTAATCCTTAACTAAATAAATTATTTCGTATTCAAGACTGTTTCAATGTCTGTAGATTATACTTTGAATTAATGAAATCGGACATTCCATTTTAAAAATATGACGAATTTTGTTCTGTGTTTCAATCCCCTGCTTGCGACACCGGCGGCCACGGCGCGGCGCACATCTATGAGATAGGTACCCGCGCGGCTCGATCGCGCAGTTGGCTTTCTACGCAGCGGACCCTACCGACATTGAATGTTTTGACTTTTTCATAGAACATTTTTTTTTTGTTCCAGTTAAAAAGTTATTTTCAGGCCCACCTAACTTACACAATGTTCCTGTCTTATTTTAATTTTATTTACATTACACCCATATGTGTATATATGCTTGAGGCATTCGAAATGTGGACATGGAGGAGAATAGAAAGGATAAGCTGGACAGAAAAACTAACGAACGAGGAAGTCCTAAAAAAAGTAAACGAGAAGAGAACATTGATTAAAATAATAAAGAATAGAAGAGACAAAATGCTGGGCCACCGTATACGACATGACGATTTTTTTAAGAGCATAATAGAAGGAAAGATAGAGAGCAAAAGAGGAAGAGGAAGACCGAGGAATAACTACATGGGACAGATAAAGGAAACACTAGGCGTCATGTCGTATAGGGAGATAAAGGATATGGCCTGGGATACAGCTGGCTGGAGGAAGATGCATGAATTAGTTGCACCGACAAGAGGAAACTCTTAAATGAAAATGAAAACACCCATATGTGTGTACTAGAAAATTAAAACAGCGCGATAATCGTGGCTCAAATCTGTTTCGATTATATCGATACATTGGTATGTTGACGTATTATCAAGTGACTAATAATAAAATTAAACGGGTAAATATTCAACCAATAATAAATCGCGGGCCTTTTTTGCGAGTATAGAACAATATAAATAAATTAAAAAAAATAAACTTTCCGATTGAAAATAGGTTTATAGATAAAAAGTAATAAAAAATTTAATACGTACTTAAAGTAATTTGTTGGATAAAAAAGCTACTTAAGAAACACTACTTTAAAAACTGATTAAATATACATTTATTTTATGTTTATTCCAAAATGTTGAAAAAATAAATAACTGTTATAATTCTACTATTGACACTGAAAGACGTAAATATTTATATTATTTTATTATAGTATTATAATTTATAACGTCTAAAATGGTGACTAGTATCATATATGCAAAATTACTATTTATAATCCACCCCTCCCCCCTCTCCCACCGTCTCCTTAACACTTAATCTCACTTTCTAACCTAAACTAAACCAACTCTGTTCACTTTTTCCTTTCTATTAGCTCTAGAACATCTATTTTTTTTTACTCATGCTCTCGTCACTCCCTGGCTTCGATAAATATCTCTCCAGTCGCAATCAGAACACTTCCGCAAAACCTTTTTATAGATTCCATTATCTTTTTTAGAATCATGTTTGCCAATAAAATTTATAGAAGTATTATTGCCTATATATTTATTGTGTACATTGTATTCTACAAAATTTAGACAGTGATAAGAAAAACAGTGCATACTAAGTATTGTAACTCCAGTAAAATGCAAAGAAAAGAAGTTTTAAGTTTTTAAAATTTATTAAATGTATCAAATTTATAATAAATTACATAACTATCACTGATAAATTACGAGTAACATCTATATATACATTATAATCATTTAATAGTACAACAATTAATTAAGCTAAAATTAATACATTAAGTCTAAATACTACTATACATTATACAATCTATTTATCCGAAAGTTTCGTCCGTTAACATATCGATCGGCCCCGTTGTTCTTCTTTATTCATCTTCATCAGAAATTATTGTATCATCAAATGATGCAAGTATACTGCATTCGACAATTTCAGCGATGGCATTTTGCTTTGTGGTCGGTTTCGTGTTCGTTTTCATTTTACTAATCGTGCTTGTATTAAAACTGAGTATATCTGCAGTCTTGAAGATTTCATCAATCTCTTCGCATATATTTTCAACTATTCCAGCAGACAGCACTTCTCCGGCGACGTACTAAAACGGCTTAACCGGTAGATCGCTTGGAATTAATTGTTCCCAATCTTCCAGAAATTCTTTAGAATCTACCCTTGGTACATTCTGTGGCGTCCTTTTTCCCGAGTTTTCTCGTTTGGGTCTTTGAAAATGTACGACGAGTTGAATGTCGTCTCTTTCAAGTCCGTATTATCGCAGTTAACACGTTTCCTCGTTGAAGGTGTTATGTCCTCATCTGTATCGAGATCCATTGGTTCTCCCCATTCTTCCTTGAGACACTTCCATTGCTTGTTCATAGGAAGCATCTCTGTGTCTTTGAAAATGTTCGACGTGCAGAATATTGTTTTATTCAAGCTTAAAGTATTGTAGTCAACACGTTTCATCATCGAAGGTGTTAACTCTTCATCAGTTTCAAAATCCACTGGTCCTCCCCATTCGTCAACGCGCATCCATTGATCGTTCAATGCATGTGTCTCTTTTGCGTCTTTGAAAAAGTTCGACGAGTGGTTTATTGTTTCCTTCAAGTTCGAAGTATCGTAGTTAACACGCTTCATCGTCGAAGGTGTTAAATGTTCGTCTGTATCGAGATCCATTGGTTCTCCCCATTCTTCGTCGAGATGCATCCGTTGATCCTCTGTGTCGATAAAGGACTCCATTTTTATTTGCGCTCTTTATATATTATAAGGTGTTAATGTCGTTACAGTATATGTATGACTGAACTGTGGAAGGGATTTGGGTTGCCGTTTATATAGACATTATGTGCAGGTAGTCAGTTACGTGGCGTGGCGTGGCGTCTTTATTATTGTTATTGTTTTCGTTCTATGAATGTTTACTGTTACAAATTGATGCTTAGATAGTGTTGTTTCAGGAAAGGTGATAATTTTAAAATATCTATATAAATAAAAATGAATCGGCAAAATGCATGTACGCACATAACTTTAGAACCACTGCACCAAATTGGAATTATCCACTTTGGTGCTATTATCTTTATTTATTTTTTTGTATTCGCTATTGTCAGAACAAGGTTTGTGTAAAAAAAAATATAGAAAGCCAACAGATTTTTTTAAATCTCACAATACGAAAAGTGAGTGAATGAAATAGAAGACTGTGAGAGGTGTTGAATATATTGACAGACTGATAGTTATCATTAATTAATTATTGCCTCATGGCAATACGTCATATTTATATTGTCATTTTGGATTAATCTACACTATTATTATGAAGAGGAAGAATTTGTATGTATGTGATGAATAAATTCTAAAAGTACTGGATCGATTTCAATAATTCTTTCACTACTACATTACTACCTTTACCCTGACCAATATAGGCTATAGAATTTTTTTTTAATAATTAAGGATTCGTACGAAAACGTCGAAAATGTAACTTAAGATGTGAAAAAGATACCAAAAATTTCTTATGCCGCGTTCGCTGCTGAAACTATTAACAATAGAGCAAAGTGATATACAAATTTTATAGAGAACATTAATATCTACAAAAAAAGACCGCAATATTATATGTCTAACTGTTACAGTAACATCACAATAACTACTTTTTCATGTTAAAACATGTAATAGTAACGCCGGTACAAACTAGACTACATTATTCGTACCTTGGTATTAATCCTTAACCAAATAAATCATTTCGTATTCAAGACTGTTTCAATGCCTGTAGATTACTCATTGAATGAATGAAATCGGACATTCCATTTCAAAGATATTACAGATTTTGTTCTGTGTTTCAATCCCCTGCTTGCGACACCGGCGGCCACGGCGCGTGGCAGCGGGCGGCGCGGCGCACATCTATGAGATAGGTACGCGCGCGGCTCGATCGCGCGGTCGGTCTACGCAGCGGACCCTACCGACATTGAATGTTTTGACTTTTTCATAGAACATTTTTTTTTCGTTCCAGTTAAAAAGTTCTTTTCAGGCCCACCTAACTTACACGAAATGTTCCTGTCTTATTTTAATTTTATTTATATTACACCCATATGTGTGTACTAGAAAATTAAAACAGCGCACTATGCGCGCCTCAAATCTGTTTCGATTATATCGATACATTGATATGTTGACGTATTATCAAGTGACCAATAATAAAATTAAACGGGTAAATATTCAACCAATAATAAATCGCAGGCCTTTTTTGCGAGTATAGAACAATATAAATAAATTAAAAAAAATAGACTTTCCGATTGAAAATAGGTTTATGGATAAAAAGTAATAAAAAATTAAATACGTACTTAAAGTAATTTGTTGGATAAAAAAGCTACTTATGAAAGACTATTTAAAAAAGTGATTAAAGATACATTTATTTTATGTTTATTCCAAAATGTTGAAAAAATAAATAACTGTTATAATTCTACTATTGACACTGAAAGACGTAAATATTTATATTATTTTATTATAGTATTATAATTTATAACGTCTAAAATGGCGACCAGTATCATATATGCAAAATTACTATTTATAACCCACCCCCCTCTCGCCCCGTCTCCTTAACACTTAATCTCACTTTCTAACCTAAACTAAACCAACTCTGTTCACTTTTTCCATTCTCCCCTTTCTATCAGCTCTAGAACATCTATTTTTTTTTTCTCGTGCTCTGATCATTCCCTGGCGTCGATGGAGACCTCTCCCGTCGCAATCGGAGCACTTCCGCAAAACCTTTTCATAGATTTATTATCTTTTTTAGAATCATGTTTGATAATAAAATTTAATGAAGTATTATTACCCATATATTTATTGCGTACATTGTATTCTACAAAATTTAGACAGTGATAAGAAAAACAGTGCATACTGTAACTCAGTGAAATACAAAGAAAAGAAATTATAAGTTTTTAAAATTTATTAAATGTATGAAATTTATAATAAATTACATAACTATCACTAATAAATTAACAACTATATATACATTATAATGATTTAATAGTACAACAATTAATTAAGCTAAAATTAATACTTTAAGTCTAAATACTACTATATATTATACAATCTATTTATCCGAAAGCTTCGTCCTTTAACGTATCGATCGACTCCGTTGTTCTTCTTTATTCATCTTCATCAGAAATTATTGTATCATCAAATGATACGAGTATACTGCATTCAACAATTTCAGCGATGGCATTTTGCTTTGTGGTCGGTTTCGTGTTCGTTTTCATTTTACTAATCGTGCTTGTATTAAAACTGAGTATATCTGCAGTCTTGAAGATTTCATCAATCTCTTCGCATATATTTTCAACTATTCCAGCAGACAGCACTTCTCCGGCGACGTACTAAAACGGCTTAACCGGTAGATCGCTTGGAATTAATTGTTCCCAATCTTCCAGAAATTCTTTAGAATCTACCCTTGGTACATTCTGTGGCGTCCTTTTTCCCGAGTTTTCTCGTTTGGGTCTTTGAAAATGTACGACGAGTTGAATGTCGTCTCTTTCAAGTCCGTATTATCGCAGTTAACACGTTTCCTCGTTGAAGGTGTTATGTCCTCATCTGTATCGAGATCCATTGGTTCTCCCCATTCTTCCTTGAGACACTTCCATTGCTTGTTCATAGGAAGCATCTCTGTGTCTTTGAAAATGTTCGACGTGCAGAATATTGTTTTATTCAAGCTTAAAGTATTGTAGTCAACACGTTTCATCATCGAAGGTGTTAACTCTTCATCAGTTTCAAAATCCACTGGTCCTCCCCATTCGTCAACGCGCATCCATTGATCGTTCAATGCATGTGTCTCTTTTGCGTCTTTGAAAAAGTTCGACGAATGGAATATTGTTTCCTTCAAGTTCGAAGTATCGTAGTTAACACGCTTCATCGTCGAAGGTGTTAAATGTTCGTCTGTATCGAGATCCATTGGTTCTCCCCATTCTTCGTCGAGGTGCATCCGTTGATCCTCTGTGTCGATAAAGGACTCCATTTTTATTTGCGCTCTTTATATATTATAAGGTGTTAATGTCGTTACAGTATGTGTATGACTGAACTGTGGAAGGGATTTGGGTTGCCGTTTATATAGACATTATGTGCAGGTAGTCAGTTACGTGGCGTGGCGTGGCGTCTTTATTATTGTTATTGTTTTCGTTCTATGAATGTTTACTGTTACAAATTGATGCTTAGATAGTGTTGTTTCAGGAAAGGTGATAATTTAAAAATATCTATATAAATAAAAATGAATCGGCAAAATGCATGTACGCACATAACTTTAGAACCACTGCACCAAATTGGAATTATCCACTTTGGTGCTATTATCTTTATTTATTTTTTTGTATTCGCTATTGTCAGAACAAGATTTGTGTAAAAAAAAATATAGAAAGCCAACAGATTTTTTTAAATCTCACAATACGAAAAGTGAGTGAATGAAATAGAAGACTGTGAGAGGTGTTGAATATATTGACAGACTGATAGTTATCATTAATTAATTATTGCCTCATGGCAATACGTCATATTTATATTGTCATTTTGGATTAATCTACACTATTATTATGAAGAGGAAGAATTTGTATGTATGTGATGAATAAATTCTGAAAGTACTGGATCGATTTCAATAATTCTTTCACTACTACATTACTACCTTTACCCTGACCAATATAGGCTATAGAATTTTTTTTTAATAATTAAGGATTCGTACGAAAACGTCGAAAATGTAACTTAAGATGTGAAAAAGATACCAAAAATTTCTTATGCCGCGTTCGCTGCTGAAACTATTAACAATAGAGCAAAGTGATATACAAATTTTATAGAGAACATTAATATCTACAAAAAAAGGCCGCAATATTATATGTCTAACTGTTACAGTAACATCACAATAACTACTTTTTCATGTTAAAACATGTAATAGTAACGCCGGTACAAACTAGACTACATTATTCGTACCTTGATATTAATCCTTAACTAAATAAATTATTTCGTATTCAAGACTGTTTCAATGTCTGTAGATTATACTTTGAATTAATGAAATCGGACATTCCATTTTAAAAATATGACGAATTTTGTTCTGTGTTTCAATCCCCTGCTTGCGACATCGGCGGCCACGGCGCGTGGCAGCGGGCGGCGCGGCGCACATCTATGAGATAGGTACCCGCGCGGCTCGATCGCGCGGTCGGCTTTCTACGCAGCGGACCCTACCGACATTGAATGTTTTGACTTTTTCACAGAACATTTTTTTTTCGTTCCAGTTAAAAAGTTCTTTTCAGGCCCACCTAACTTACACGAAATGTTCCTGTCTTATTTTAATTTTATTTACATTACACCCATATGTGTATATATGCTTGAGGCATTCGAAATGTGGACATGGAGGAGAATAGAAAGGATAAGCTGGACAGAAAAACTAACGAACGAGGAAGTCCTAAAAAAAGTAAACGAGAAGAGAACATTGATTAAAATAATAAAGAATAGAAGAGACAAAATGCTGGGCCACCGTATACGACATGACGATTTTTTTAAGAGCATAATAGAAGGAAAGATAGAGAGCAAAAGAGGAAGAGGAAGACCGAGGAATAACTACATGGGACAGATAAAGGAAACACTAGGCGTCATGTCGTATAGGGAGATAAAGGATATGGCCTGGGATACAGCTGGCTGGAGGAAGATGCATGAATTAGTTGCACCGACAAGAGGAAACTCTTAAATGAAAATGAAAACACCCATATGTGTGTACTAGAAAATTAAAACAGCGCGATAAACGTAGCTCAAATCTGTTTCGATTATATCGATACATTGATATGTTGACGTATTATCAAGTGACCAATAATAAAATTAAACGGGTAAATGTTCAACCAATAATTAATCGCGGGTCTTTTTTTGCGAGTATAGAACAATATAAATAAATAAAAATAATAGACTTTCTCATTGAAAATAGGTTTATGGATAAAAAGTAATAAAAAATTAAACATGTACTTAAAGTAATTTGTTGGATAAAAAAGCTACTTAAGAAAAACTACTTTAAAAACTGATTAAATATACATTTATTTTATGTTTATTCCAAAATGTTGAAAAATAAATAACTGTTATAATTCTACTATTGAGACTGAAAGACGTAAATATTTATATTATTTTATTATAGTATTATAATTTATTACGTCTGAAATGGTAACTAGTATTATATATGCAAAATTACTATTTATAACCCCCCCCCCTCACCCCCCGTCTCTTTAACACTTAATCTCACTTTCTAACCTAAACTAAACCAACTCTGTTCACTTTTTCCGTTCTCCCCTTTCTATCAGCTCTAGAACATCTATTTTTTTTTTCTCGTGTTTTGATCACTCCCTGGCGACGATAGAGACCTCTCCCGTCGCAATCGGAGCACTTTCGCAAAACCCTTTCATAGATTTATTATCTTTTTTAGAATCATGTTTGATAATAAAATTTAATGAAGTATTATTACCCATATATTTATTGCGTACATTGTATTCTACAAAATTTAGACAGTGATAAGAAAAACAGTGCATACTGTAACTCAGTGAAATACAAAGAAAAGAAATTATAAGTTTTTAAAATTTATTAAATGTATCAAATTTATAATAAATTACATAACTATCACTGATAAATTAACAACTATATATACATTATAATGATTTAATAGTACAACAATTAATTAAGCTAAAATTAATACATTAAGTCTAAATACTACTATATATTATATTATACAATCTATTTATCCAAAAGCTTCGTCCTTTAACGTATCGATCGGCCCCGTTGTTCTTCTTTATTCATCTTCATCAGAAATTATTGTATCATCAAATGATACGAGTATACTGCATTCAACAATTTCAGCGATGGCATTTTGCTTTGTGCTCGGTTTCGTGTTCGTTTTCATTTTACTAATCGTGCTTGTATTAAAACTGAGTATATCTGCAGTCTTGAAGATTTCATCAATCTCTTCGCATATATTTTTAACTATTCCAGCAGACAGCACTTCTCCGGCGACGTACTAAAACGGCTTAACCGTTAGATCGCTTGGAAAGAATTGTTCCTAATCTTCCACAAATTCTTTATAATCTACCCTTGGTACATTCTGTGGCGTCCTTTTTCCCGAGTTTTCTCGTTTGGGTCTTTGAAAATGTACGACGAGTTGAATGTCATCTCTTTCAAGTCCGTATCATCATAGTTAACACGTTTCCTCGTTGAAAGTGTTATGTCCTCATCTGTATCGAGATCCATTGGTTCTCCCCATTCTTTCTTGAGACACCTCCATTGATTGTTCATAGGAAGCATCTTCTCTGCGTCTTCGAAAATGTTCGACGAACTGAATATTGCCTTTTTTAAGTTTAAGGTATGGAAGTTAACATGCTTAATCATCGAAGGTGTTAACTCTTCATCAGTTTCAAAATCCACTGGTCCTCCCCATTCGTCAACGCGCATCCATTGATCGTTCAATGCATGTGTCTCTTTTGCGTCTTTGAAAAAGTTCGACGAGTGGAATATTGTTTCCTTCAAGTTCGAAGTATCGTAGTTAACACGCTTCATCGTCGAAGGTGTTAAATGTTCGTCTGTATCGAGATCCATTGGTTCTCCCCATTCTTCGTCGAGATGCATCCGTTGATCGTCTGTGTCGATAAAGGACTCCATTTTTATTTGCGCTCTTTATATATTATAAGGTGTTAATGTCGTTACAGTATGTGTATGACTAATGTGGAAGGGATTTGGGTTGCCGTTTATATAGACATTATGTGCAGGTAGTCAGTTACGTGACGTGGCGTGGCGTCTTTATTATTGTTATTGTTTTCGTTCTATGAATGTTTACTGATACAAATTGATGCTTAGATAGTGTTGTTTCAGGAAAGGTGATAATTTTAAAATATCTATATAAATAAAAATGAATCGGCAAAATGCATGTACGCACATAACTTTAGAACCACTGCACCAAATTGGAATTATCCACTTTGGTGCTATTATCTTTATTTATTTTTTTGTATTCGCTATTGTCAGAACAAGGTTTGTGTAAAAAAAAATATAGAAAGCCAACAGATTTTTTAAATCTCATAATACGAAAAGTGAGTGAATGAGATAGAAGACTGTGAGAGGTGTTGAATATATTGACAGACTGATAGTTAATGAGGCAATACGTCATATTTATATTGTCATTTTGGATTAATCTACACTATTATTATGAAGAGAAAGAATTTGTATGTATGTGATGAATAAATTCTAAAAGTACTGGATCGATTTCAATAATTCTTTCACTACTACATTACTACCTTTACCCTGACCAATATAGGCTATAGAATTTTTTTTAAATAATTAAGGATTCGTACGAAAACGTCGAAAATGTAACTTAAGATGTGAAAAAGATACCAAAAATTTCTTATGCCGCGTTCGCTGCTGAAACTATTAACAATAGAGCAAAGTGATATACAAATTTTATAGAGAACATTAATATCTACAAAAAAAGACCGCAATATTATATGTCTAACTGTTACAGTAACATCACAATAACTACTTTTTCATGTTAAAACATGTAATAGTAACGCCGGTACAAACTAGACTACATTATTCGTACCTTGATATTAATCCTTAACTAAATAAATTATTTCGTATTCAAGACTGTTTCAATGTCTGTAGATTATACTTTGAATTAATGAAATCGGACATTCCATTTTAAAAATATGACGAATTTTGTTCTGTGTTTCAATCCCCTGCTTGCGACACCGGCGGCCACGGCGCGTGGCAGCGGGCGGCGCGGCGCACATCTATGAGATAGGTACCCGCGCGGCTCGATCGCGCGGTCGGCTTTCTACGCAGCAGACCCTACCGACATTGAATGTTTTGACTTTTTCATAGAACATTTTTTTTTTGTTCCAGTTAAAAAGTTCTTTTCAGGCCCACCTAACTTACACGAAATGTTCCTGTCTTATTTTAATTTTATTTATATTACACCCATATGTGTGTACTAGAAAATTAAAACAGCGCACTATGCGCGCCTCAAATCTGTTTCGATTATATCGATACATTGATATGTTGACGTATTATCAAGTGACCAATAATAAAATTAAACGGGTAAATATTCAACCAATAATAAATCGCGGGCCTTTTTTGCGAGTATAGAACAATATAAATAAATTAAAAAAAATAGACTTTCCGATTGAAAATAGGTTTATGGATAAAAAGTAATAAAAAATTAAATACGTACTTAAAGTAATTTGTTGGATAAAAAAGCTACTTAAGAAAAACTACTTTAAAAACTGATTAAATATACATTTATTTTATGTTTATTCCAAAATGTTGAAAAAATAAATAACTGTTATAATTCTACTATTGACACTGAAAACGTAAATATTTATATTATTTTATTATAGTATTATAATTTATAACGTCTAAAATGGTGACTAGTATCATATATGCAAAATTACTATTTATAATCCACCCCTCCCCCCTCTCCCACCGTCTCCTTAACACTTAATCTCACTTTCTAACCTAAACTAAACCAACTCTGTTCACTTTTTCCGTTCTCCCCTTTCTATCAGCTCTAGAACATCTATTTTTTTTTCTCGTGCTCTGATCATTCCCTGGCGTCGATGGAGACCTCTCCCATCGCAATCGGAGCACTTTCGCAAAACCCTTTCATAGATTTATTATCTTTTTTAGAATCATGTTTGATAATAAAATTTAATGAAGTATTATTACCTATATATTTATTGTGTACATTGTATTCTACAAAATTTTGATAGTGATAGGAAAAACAGTACATACTAAGTATTGTAACTCAAGTGAAATGCAAAGGAAAGAAGTTTTAAGTTTTTAAAATTTATTAAATGTATTTAAATTTATAATAAATTACATAACTATCACTGATAAATTAACAACTATATATACATTATAATGATTTAATAGTACAACAATTAATTAAGCTAAAATTAATACATTAAGTCTAAATACTACTATATATTATACAATCTATTTATCCAAAAGCTTCGTCCTTTAACGTATCGCTCGACCCCGTTGTTCTTCTTTATTCATCTTCATCAGAAATTATTGTATCATCAAATGATGCAAGTATACTGCATTCGACAATTTCAGCGATGGCATTTCATCAATCTCTTCGCATATATTTTCAACTATTCCAGCAGACAGCACTTCTCCGGCGACGTACTAAAACGGCATAACCGGTAGATCGCTTGGAAATAATTGTTCCCAATCTTCCAGAAATTCTTTAGAATCTACCCTTGGTACATTCTGTGGCGTCCTTTTTCCCGAGTTTTCTCGTTTGGGTCTTTGAAAATGTACGACGAGTTGAATGTCGTCTCTTTCAAGTCCGTATTATCGCAGTTAACACGTTTCCTCGTTGAAGGTGTTATGTCCTCATCTGTATCGAGATCCATTGGTTCTCCCCATTCTTCCTTGAGACACTTCCATTGCTTGTTCATAGGAAGCATCTCTGTGTCTTTGAAAATGTTCGACGTGCAGAATATTGTTTTATTCAAGCTTAAAGTATTGTAGTCAACACGTTTCATCATCGAAGGTGTTAACTCTTCATCAGTTTCAAAATCCACTAGTCCTCCCCATTCGTCAACGCGCATCCATTGATCGTTCAATGCATGTGTCTCTTTTGCGTCTTTGAAAAAGTTCGACGAGTGGAATATTGTTTCCTTCAAGTTCGAAGTATCGTAGTTAACACGCTTCATCGTCGAAGGTGTTAAATGTTCGTCTGTATCGAGATCCATTGGTTCTCCCCATTCTTCGTCGAGATGCATCCGTTGATCCTCTGTGTCGATAAAGGACTCCATTTTTATTTGCGCTCTTTATATATTATAAGGTGTTAATGTCGTTACAGTATGTGTATGACTAATATGGAAGGGATTTGGGTTGCCGTTTATATAGACATTATGTGCAGGTAGTCAGTTACGTGACGTGGCGTGGCGTCTTTATTATTGTTATTATATTCGTTCTATGAATGTTTACTGATACAAATTGATGCTTAGATAGTGTCGTTACAGGAAAGGTGATAATTTTTAAATATCCATATAAATAAAAATAAATCGGCAAAATGCATGTACGCACATAACTTTAGAACCACTGCACCAAATTGGAATTATCCACTTTGGTGCTATTATCTTTATTTATTTTTTTGTATTCGCTATTGTCAGAACAAGGTTTGTGTAAAAAAAAAAATATAGAAAGCCAACAGATTTTTTAAATCTCACAATACGAAAAGTGAGTGAATGAAATAGAAGACTGTGAGAGGTGTTGAATATATTGACAGACTGATAGTTAATGAGGCAATACGTCATATTTATATTGTCATTTTTGATTAATCTACACTATTATTATAAAGAGGATCGATTTCAATAAATCTTTTACTGTTAGAATGCTACATTATCCCTGATTAACATAGGTTATAGAATATTTAGAAATTAGTAAAGGATTCGTGCGAAAACGTCGAAAATGTAACTTAAGATGTGAAAAAGATACCAAAAATTTCTTATGCCGCGTTCGCTGCTGAAACTATTAACAATAGAGCAAAGTGATATACAAATTTTATAGAGAACATTAATATCTACAAAAAAAGACCGCAATATTATATGTCTAACTGTTACAGTAACATCACAATAACTAATTTTTCATGTTAAAATATGCAATAGTAACGCCGGTACAAACTAGACTACATTATTCGTACCTTGATATTAATCCTTAACTAAATAAATTATTTCGTATTCAAGACTGTTTCAATGTCTGTAGATTATACTTTGAATTAATGAAATCGGACATTCCATTTTAAAAATATGACGAATTTTGTTCTGTGTTTCAATCCCCTGCTTGCGACACCGGCGGCCACGGCGCGTGGCAGCGGGCGGCGCGGCGCACATCTATGAGATAGGTACCCGCGCGGCTCGATCGCGCGGTCGGCTTTCTACGCAGCGGACCCTACCGACATTGAATGTTTTGACTTTTTCATAGAACATTTTTTTTTCGTTCCAGTTAAAAAGTTCTTTTCAGGCCCACCTAACTTACACGAAATGTTCCTGTCTTATTTTAATTTTATTTATATTACACCCATATGTGTGTACTAGAAAATTAAAACAGCGCGATAAACGCGCCTCAAATCTGTTTCGATTATATCGATACATTGGTATGTTGACGTATTATCAAGTGACCAATAATAAAATTAAACGGGTAAATATTCAACCAATAATAAATCGCAGGCCTTTTTTGCGAGTATAGAACAATATAAATAAATTAAAAAAAATAGACTTTCCGATTGAAAATAGGTTTATGGATAAAAAGTAATAAAAAATTAAATACGTACTTAAAGTAATTTGTTGGATAAAAAAGCTACTTATGAAAGACTATTTAAAAAAGTGATTAAAGATACATTTATTTTATGTTTATTCCAAAATGTTGAAAAAATAAATAACTGTTATAATTCTACTATTGACACTGAAAGACGTAAATATTTATATTATTTTATTATAGTATTATAATTTATAACGTCTAAAATGGCGACCAGTATCATATATGCAAAATTACTATTTATAACCCACCCCCCTCTCGCCCCGTCTCCTTAACACTTAATCTCACTTTCTAACCTAAACTAAACCAACTCTGTTCACTTTTTCCATTCTCCCCTTTCTATCAGCTCTAGAACATCTATTTTTTTTTTCTCGTGCTCTGATCATTCCCTGGCGTCGATGGAGACCTCTCCCGTCGCAATCGGAGCACTTCCGCAAAACCTTTTCATAGATTTATTATCTTTTTTAGAATCATGTTTGATAATAAAATTTAATGAAGTATTATTACCCATATATTTATTGCGTACATTGTATTCTACAAAATTTAGACAGTGATAAGAAAAACAGTGCATACTGTAACTCAGTGAAATACAAAGAAAAGAAATTATAAGTTTTTAAAATTTATTAAATGTATGAAATTTATAATAAATTACATAACTATCACTAATAAATTAACAACTATATATACATTATAATGATTTAATAGTACAACAATTAATTAAGCTAAAATTAATACTTTAAGTCTAAATACTACTATATATTATACAATCTATTTATCCGAAAGCTTCGTCCTTTAACGTATCGATCGACCCCGTTGTTCTTCTTTATTCATCTTCATCAGAAATTATTGTATCATCAAATGATACGAGTATACTGCATTCAACAATTTCAGCGACGGCATTTTGCTTTGTGGTCGGTTTCGTGTTCGTTTTCATTTTACTAATCGTGCTTGTATTAAAACTGAGTATATCTGCAGTCTTGAAGATTTCCTCAGTCTCTTCGCATATATTTTCAACTATTCCAGCAGACAGCACTTCTCCGGCGACGTACTAAAACGGCTTAACCGGTAGATCGCTTGGAATTAATTGTTCCCAATCTTCCAGAAATTCTTTAGAATCTACCCTTGGTACATTCTGTGGCGTCCTTTTTCCCAAGTTTTCTCGTTTGGGTCTTTGAAAATGTACGACGAGTTGAATGTCGTCTCTTTCAAGTCCGTATTATCGCAGTTAACACGTTTCCTCGTTGAAGGTGTTATGTCCTCATCTGTATCGAGATCCATTGGTTCTCCCCATTCTTCCTTGAGACACCTCCATTGATTGTTCATAGGAAGCATCTTCTCTGCATCTTCGAAAATGTTCGACGAACTGAATATTGCCTTTTTTAAGTTTAAGGTATGGAAGTTAACATGCTTAATCATCGAAGGTGTTAACTCTTCATCAGTTTCAAAATCCACTGGTCCTCCCCATTCTTCGTCAACGCGCATCCATTGATCGTTCAATGCATGTATCTTTTTTGCGTCTTTGAAAAAGTTCGACGAGTAGAATATTGTTTCCTTCAAGTTCAAAGCATCGTAGTTAACACGCTTCATCGTCGAAGGTGTTAAATGTTCGTCTGTATCGAGATCCATTGGTTCTCTCCATTCTTCGTCGAGGTGCATCCGTTGATCCTCTGTGTCGATAAAGGACTCCATTTTTATTTGCGCTCTTCCAATAAGGTGTTAATGTCGTTACAGTATGTGTATGACTAATGTGGAAGGGATTTGGGTTGCCGTTTATATAGACATTATGTGCAGGTAGTCAGTTACGTGTCGTAGCGTGGCGTCTTTATTATTGTTATTGTATTCGTTCTATGAATGTTTACTGATACAAATTGATGCTTAGATAGTGTCGTTACAGGAAAGGTGATAATTTTAAAATATACTTTTTTAATTCTACTATTGGCACTTCAAGGTCTAAATATTTATATTATTTTATATTACTATTATAATTTATTACGTGTAAAATGTTAACAAGTATTATATATGCAAAATTACTATTTATATATTATAAATTGTACAATATCTGGTAGTATTTGGATTTAATGTATTAGTAACAGCTTTATTAATCGTAGTATCTCTGGTTATTGTTTGTATATGATTTTTGAAAGAACATTTTGAAAATTTTTGCTTCTTTCTTATTTGTTCTACTGAGTTTCTCCTAATACTAGTAGTAAGTAATCTTAAAAGACACTTAAAATGGCCGCATCCACAAGATGCGGATTACGTTAATAAAGTTTATTTTTTAACAGATCAATTAAAATAATTGAATTAACATTCTGCAAATTATAAAAACTGTATACACGCAACTGTGGATATATGTGATGAGTGTGTCTTTATTGATTGATCGATTGGGAGAGAGATGTGACAGTGGGGTAGATAGTAGTCAATTTGTACTGTTTAGTACCTAGACTTATATGGTATTGTGATTTCTGTTTGAACCGAACACGGCTAATGTTATTCCTTAGTTATTATAGCAGTAATATAATAGAGTAGTATTTATTTTTTATTTTTAAATTTTCCCCACAAAATATCAGTGGTAATTAATAATTTTCCTCTTGAACTATTCATAAGATTTTGGTCCTTCGAGCCGGATTCGAATCAGCGAAAATTTAATGGTATCAGATACTCCTTTACCCAGTATCTGGAATAAGTAGGTATACCTATTAGTTAATTACCTGGACAGTGCACAACAAATAGGAATTCATGGTTCATTAACCAAACAACGGTCGGTTCGGTACTACTCGCAGGACACCGGCCAAGTTGGATGCTAAATCACGCTGTGTGCCTGCGGACCTCCACCTATGAGATATACGTCTAAATTTTAGCGGAGTTTAGTCGAACAGAGTCGAATATTAGGAACGTGTTGTCATACGAAATTCAATAAGTATTATTCTCGGAAATAAACTTTTTGTAAAAAGTTACGTTCACCACAAGGATGATTCTTTTTAACGGGTGACAATAGAATGGTAAGGCTGCGCTATCGGTATACGCTAGCAAGGTACCAGGGAGGGATAATAGAAGAGGATAAAAACATGTCAGTTAGTTCGTCGTGATGAATTCCACAAGAATTAACCGATATAGTTTCCAGATAGAACCGCGGAAAGGTTGACCAGATAAGCGACACTGTTAAGAACTCTCAAATTCGAGTCAATTCGGAAAAGTTTATTTTTTGAATTAACTTGACCGGGAATAGAACCCGGTACCTCATTTACGTATCGCTACGTGTCCAACATTGCTATGAGAAGGATGTCAAATGAAATTAATATAATAAATGATTATCATCGTATGATGGTGATGATATCAGCCGTTAACTGTCCACTCTTGAACAATGGTCTGCCACTTGGAGATTTTTAGTTAGTAGCTTTTGTTATTTTTGTGGAAGGTTGGAAGCCGTGGTTAAGCTTTGGTAAAATTTCAAGAGGGCACACGTGACGTGGGCAACAGCCCTTCCCTCGACATTTAAATTCCTATGTTTTTGACAAATAATAATAATTTATTTGCCAAAAACATAGTTTCGTAATAAAATGTCACAATTTGTTTTTTTAATATTCAGTATGTCTCGCCATTTTCAATAGCATGCAAATCTTTCTAGATAGTATTTATCAAATATCAAAAATATCGAAAATTTATATAAATTAATGCATTTCATTGATAGGTTAATGAAATATTAATCGCGGCGCGGCCGTCCCAAATCTGCACCCGTATAATTCAAGCCTATTTCGCGCACTGACCGGAAGCAGAAACTTATTCCTTGTTCACTAGAGTTGGACAGTTTGTCAATTTATGAGGGCGTACACAATATCGCGAGCGCAGCGGATCCGAGGGCAGATTCTGTTAATTGAGTCTGTGTGATTATTCATTATGTATTATGTCTAGTTGATTGATAAAGGAAAGCTCTTTTTGGCCAGCATCTATTTTATCATTCCTTCCATGTTAATTCCTTGTTCTTAGGAATCGACCAATCGAGATAATAATAATAATAAATAAAAATTAGTTTATTCATCTCCACAAATTACAATGTATAATAATATTACGTTTTATACAAAATAAAAGTATCATAATTTGTGGGAGATCTGGAGCCTAAACTAAGTCGTAACTTGTATCTTAGACACCAGGTCCTCATTCCTTCCATGTTAATTCCTTGTTCTTAGGAATCGACCAATCGAGATAAAATGTCAAACTAGCGTTTAATGTTTTATCAAGATTGGTCTATTGGTCCAAACGATAAAGTTTGATATCTGTCAATTTTATGCCATATATTTGTATATCTATATTTCTATATACATGTATTTTTATATAAATACTAGGTTTTGCCCGCTACTTTGATCCCGTTACAGGGATATGTTTACCGACAAAGTTAAATGGTGACCTTTGGTCCTTTTACATCCCATATAATAAATGTGTAACAAATTTTACAGTGATCGGTTAATCCGTTAAGATGCAATAAAATAACAAACAAATAAACAATAATAAGCGGTAATAACTATACAGAAGGATTCATACTAAACGGACTCTTTGTAACCTCTCCCCCCCCCCCCCTTACTTCCCTAGATGTAATCATCGTATCAGTGTTTAACCCTCTGATACACAGACCATCCATGTATGTCGGCTTAAAAGCAAGTGACCCGGAGGTTGTTGCCTGCGGAGTTGAAGCCGGGGCAAAGGAGGACGCCTCGAGGCCCCTACCTCGTCCGCCCACACCATCTACCGGGCATAGAGAAGACCTGGATCGATTGATTGAACCCTCTAGTATCCACTAGTTTAATTTTAAGTATTCCGCGATTTCGACGTGCTCGCATTTTTTATGTTTCTTGGCGTTGTTATCCCGCCATTTTTGTTTTGATAGATTGATATTGTTTCTCAGAATCTCGCCAGATGGCTCAATACTCGTACCGCTATTTGTTGTCTAAGCGATGTGTTTTTTTCTGTTGTGAAAAAAAAAAAATAAAAAAAATACGCGTTCAGAGGGATAACTGTCCACTGCTGAACATAAGCCTTTCCCTTGGAGAGTTTTTCCAGTAGTTGCCACATTTGGCAAGTGGATTGGCAACCGCAGTTAACTTTGGTGACATTTTAAGAGGAATACTACTGCCCATCTCTGGGCCATTAACTTCCCTTAGTCTTCTCTTACGACGCCCACGGCAACGGGAGAAGTAACCTATTCTACGCTAGAACCACGCAGCCAAGTAGACACAGCCAAGTTAGATGTAATCCATGTGTACAAACAGGCATTGGACCATCCCATGAACCTATAGTGTCGATTCCAAAAGACATTATACAATAGCAATAGATCTATTTTTGTACGTTTTTGAACTTATTTTCTTTGGGCGTCGTATTTTTTTTTTTTTTTATAATTAACGAAACTTAAGTAATGCAGTTAGGGCAAAAATTAAGCAACAGTGTCGGTCCATTAGTGAAGTCACAGGCCGCTCGACGTCAATTTGGCAGAATCACCGGCGTGAAGTGTTTTTTAATTAATTTCATGAGTGAATTTTGTTGCGGAACAGAAGTGATATGGAGACGTTGTTTATTTAAAATTTTATTGACAGGAACACTTTTAGATAGTAAAATAAAAATAAAATAGTTTATATGCTAAATAATTGATAAAAATAAAAAAATAAAATAAAATAATCGATTCAGATATTGATCTAGATGTTAGCTGATTTAGAGGCATAGGTTTAGTTCTTAGCTTATACAGATAGAGCATGGAGCCTCAAAAACTTTTCGTCAGCTAATTAAAATTATTTAAAAGAGCAACACGCAAGTTTCTTGCTCGTTCTTCTTGTGATGAGACAGCTTTCCGAACGAGCGGTAGATTAAAAAAAATGTAATGACTTTTCAAAAGTGCTTCAATGTAAGTTTATTTGAATAAATGATTTCTATTCTATTCTATTCTATCAAATTAGCTGACTCATTTTTTATCAGTTTCTATATATTTACGCATAAAATGTATCTTGACGTATTATTTAATAAATAAAATGAACGTTTACGTATTAAAAAAATGCAAAATTTATAAGACAAAATAAATATAGAAGTTATAAAGGAATCACTCATAACTATTTATCACTCAAAATTGTATGAAAAAGTTGACCCCCACTTTTCTCGAAGCATAAAAATATATTTGTATTCATGCCGTCGACTCCACATCTCCTGTGCCGCCGCGACACCACCGTCCACGCACTAATTCAATATGGCCGACGTAAGCCATTTGCGTCCGCGCTTGACGCATCACCCGTGAAAAAATCAATTACAATTTTTTGATAGCAACGCGGATAACGGCTCGCAAATATGGAGTCATTTATTATGACAAGATCGGAATACGTTATATATGTAAACTAGCTACTGTGAAATTAAATATGAAATTACAAAATCTGCTACTTTATTCTAATGTTAACCAGAGGGAGATTTTATACAAAAGTCGATTGCTTGGGCACCTCTGTCGCATTCGTGTTTCTACCGTGAAGCAGTTGTGTTTGCATGGCTGTGTTTCGGTTTGAAGGGATATGGGGTGAATTTACTGGGTACGAAGGAATAACACCTGAGTCCTCAGGAATGGCAATGCATGGGAGGTATCATGGGCGAAACAGTACACTCTTATATGTCCATGGTACTGCTCATGTCTATAGGCGACGGTCACCACTTCTCATCAGGTG